TTAACAGGTAATCATTATATATAAACTTTAGTTAGAATGCTTCCACTTCTTTAAGCTTAATTTTAAAAATGTAAAAAAAAAAAAATGTTTATTGTATGTTGTCTTTCTGGCTGTTTTTTCAGGATGTTTCTACTTCTTTAACCCAAAGCATGCTGGGAAACTCAGCAGTTAACCAGATCAATTTTTAAGTATAATTTAGAGATTAATTTAAAAGTGAATTGTTTTCTTATAACAATATGAGATACAGTTCTAAATTTCTGTAGCAGGATATTTAAAGTGCAAAGGTAAAAAATAATTATAAGCTTCACTACAGTTATTTATTTTAAAGAATACCATTTGACATTAAATTTCCTGTTGATGCTCAAGAATCCAGATAAATCTAAAAAGGTTGAGTCTGGTCCTCTGGACGGGTTCTTCTTTGATGAAACATTTCAGCTTTTATCCAGAAGACTTCTTCAGTCTGCACAGACTGACTCCCTGCTCACAGGGTGCAGGTGCCTTTCTAACAGTAGTCACCGTGCAAGAGGTGGGGGACACCCTGGACAGTGCCCAAGTCCAGCACACGGACACATAGAGACAAATGACACAAACAACCATTCACACTCTCACACACCCAGGAGCAATTTAGATTTACCCATGAACCAAACATGCAGGTTTTTGTTCTGTGGAAGGGAATCAGAGTACCTGGAGAAAACCTGTGTCTGCACTGTACATATATCTGGAAATATGATGCACATTAAGATTTTATATTAAAACACACAGCTGGCCTCTGCGACCTCCTGCATAACCTTCCAGCAAAATAACAGTGACTGGGAATAGCATCCTACACAGACAGCCTGTCATTATGAAGTTGGCACGCTCGCCTGCCATCACTGTACATCCTCTACTAAAACAGACAGTCTGGAAGGAATAACTATCCTCACAAACAAACCACTAAATCATCCCTCGTAAAACTAAGGAAAAAGGAAAAACTACTCATTCTGTTCCTTCATGTCTGCGCTGCTAATGTGGTTTTGTCTAAAAGACGCTTCTCAAAGTTTACATTTTGTGGGAATGTCGTGCCTTAAAACCGAGGCCTGAAGGTGTTAAATCATATTTCACTTTTGACTTCTGGGTGTTTTCTCCTTTCAACCACCGTCTGAGTTTTAACTTGATGGATGGATCCACAAAACGATTGACAGCAAAGGTGTTGAGCAAAGTCACAGTTACTGAGCTGAAAAGACGCGTCAGCAGTCCTGAAAGAGGCTCTGTGAGCAGGGAACATTTTTTATACATTAAACTTTATGTCAGAGACAGTTACACAGAGAGGAAATATAAAATGAGAAGAAAATCCCATAATAATTTAATTGAGTCGACATTCAGACATGCTGGTAATTACACATTCAGCTTTCCATTTTGGTAAAGTGTGTAAACTGGCAGACATTATCTGGCAACACAAACCAGTTTGTTTGCCATGAACTTTTAGGATGATTTCCACAACCAACACACCCATTTTGTATGAGACTTTGTTAAATTTAGAGGTGAGCTTTATGAAGATTTATAAATCCTGGCACAGGTGGGGTAATCTGAGTACATATAGAATAAAAGCAAAAGGACAACAGGTATTTGGCAACTTAAAAAATAATTGCTCTTAATTTTTTAAGTTCTTGTCGAAGTAAATTGTAATGATGATGTTCACAACATTTCAAATTTGTACTATAGTGATAAATTGATGAACAAAAGCACCTGATTGGCAGAGATTACAAAACAGGACAGTAAAACTTATTGTCCGTTTTGCATTTAGCTGATTTTTTTTTGTTTTAACGAGTCAATAGTTGTCATTAAACCCTTCTAGGGGTACATTTGAATGACCAGATGACCAATAGATCTACCGTCTACTGAAATGGGACACCTTACCAGTGTGTCAGGAGTTTCTGACCTTGAATGGGAAATTAAAAAAACTGAGCCACAGTGTAAGTCTTAGGGCACATATGTCAAATTCAAGGCCCAGGGGCCAAATGTGGCCCTTGTTGACATCTTATCTGGCCCCCAAGATGTTATTTTAAACGTAAAATACTTTTTTCACTTGAATTTATTCAGTAATCTTCGATTATGACGTCAAAAGTGCAACAGAAAACATTAAATGAGACCAACCAAACTCTTTTTGAGGAACCTGCAACCAAGAAAATGTGTTAAGTATCTGATTTGAGTTAATGTAGATTCTGAAACTGGCCCTTAGCTTGAAAAAGCTTTTAATTTTGGCCCCCGTTTGTAAATGAGTTTGACACCCCTGTCTTAGGGTAAATTGAAGAAATATGGACTTTAACTACTAATCAACTAAACTAAAAGGCTATCTAAGGCTACTAATCACTAAATCCACGTGGTTCCCTGAGAAAATGGTGATGAAGCAGTGGAAACACAACAGTACAAGGTTAAAGATGTCAGTGTAAGTCACACCAGCAGAAGACTAAAATGCCACACATTCCCATCCCAGGACCGAGCTGTTGCTCTGCCTCCACGTATAGTAGCTCTATTCACCGGCACCGACGCAGAATGAGAGGGACGGCAGGGTTGTGTTATGTTATGTTTAGCCAGAATGAGACAGACTGCCCTTTGAGAACCCCTCTGCTTTGAAATGAGGTTAAGGAACATCCATGTCAAGAAAATATCGCCCTCTGATTTTCTCCTCCGTGGAACAAAACCCAGCTTTCATGCCTTTCTGGGCCCGCAGCTTTCTGGATAATGGCTTCACCTCGTCTTTTCCTCCCCCCTTCATTCTCTCACAGAAGAACAAATAAACATGTGACATTCTGACCACTTTTTTCTCTAAATAGGTTTTTCACTGCCTGGGTGGGGCGCTGTCACAATTTACACCCACATCTGCTTCTGCACCATAGTGCACGCTCACACTGTGTACGCATTTGTCCAGTGCTCCGGATCAATGCAGGGACAGAGACTGGACACACGTTTACAGATAACAGGAGTGTTTAAACACAGATTCCTCCAACCAAACCAAACACTACTTCTTTAAGCGTACTTTAAGTTACGAGATGTTGTCTGCTCGACGTGCAGCACACAGAAGCACATTCACGCAGATGAAGCATTTCCACACCCCGAGCTGTGAGAAAACATCCATAGCTTACGAATACACAAACACAACTGTACAAAGCACACATAGATGTGAAGACACTATAAGCTTTCACTCCTAAACCCCTGCCACGGAGGTGCTCTGCCGCATAGCTACCTATTCATAAAGAGCAAAAGTGTCTCTGGCTTTCACCTCCTGATTACACACAGGAGACCACAGGAAGGTGCAGCCGCCCAATATGAAGCTGAAAATGTTGCCAGAATATACCAATAAAAATAATTTACAAACAAACCTAACTGTGCAGTTTATAGCAATTGTCTACAAGCTGTCCAAACTAACTAAAACGTATATAACTTCTAAAGAAAATATTGGATATTTTAAGAAAGTGGTTGTGGAAAAAAAACTGGTTCACGATTAAAATTGACACGTCGTGTCGTTGCCACACATTCATTACAGTCCTATGAAAAGAAATGTACTTAGATTTGTCAAAAGGAGCTTATGTAGTGGAATAAAGATAATTTAGTTGAGTTTGCTGAAAAATGTGACCAGTTAGGTTGAACTGATGAAGACTCAGGTGAAGAGAATCAAGAATAAATGGGTTCTCTGTGGCAGAAACAGCTCAAAGACAACTAGTGGTGCGTCAGGGAACTACACTGCATGCAGATTATTCCAGGGTCCACTATTCTACAGCCTGTGGGAAGTGAGAGGATAGGAGGGTAAAACATATATAATCACAAACTCAAGTAATTCTGATCATTTGTAACCTCACAGGGAGTTCACAATCTTCTGCAGCTATCGCTTGGAACTGATCGTATTAAGCGTATTAGTTTCCAAGATTAGTTCTTCTTCCAATAGTTTTATAGTACATGTAAAACCTGATGTTCAAAACTTATTAAAAATGCTTCATTAGCATAACTTTTAATGAGATCCCTCCTCCTCTGAAGGCAGTGATGGACAGACTGGTGCACAGGCTGAGCTGGTAAACAGTTGGCAACGTGCACTCTTGATTCAGAGCACACAATTCACGCATTGTACAAAAAATACTCACTAAAAATATTACAAACAATCCATTACAAAAGTGACAAAATAAATAATAGCAAGTGTTTGTACTTCATGTCCCTCTCCAGATAAAGAGGGGTGAAGACTCCTGATAATAATAAAAAAGGCAATACATAAAAAAAAAAATCTAATCCAGTTAAATTTAAATATAAAAATCAATTACAACAATGTAAAATCCTGCATTGAAGACTTTTAAATTATGATTCTAACTTCAGATTTATCAAGATCTGTCAGCCTGGATCAGCTCAGACAAGAAAATAATAATTTGACAGGGGGGGAAAAAAAGCATTAATTGAAATGAACGTTTATTTTAATTAGCTTATAGGAAACATATTTAACACCTGAATAGCCCCGTTTGTGACCACTATCACATTTGTACATGTATCAATTAATACTTTTAAACTGACAAACCAGAAATTAGCACTTATTGCATTGTTAGTTTTTCAGGTCTGAGCCTAAAACTTTTCAAACAATCAAATCTCACCAAATCTCACAGATAATGCACTTGACAAAAGACACAGTCCAGTCAGAAAGCAAACTCAAATTAAAAACTTAAGTTACCCAGGCAGGTTGTTGGAATTTGACCAAAGTGCACAAAGCATAAACTTCTAGCTCAGGTCTCCGTGCAACAAATACCAAAGAGGTTTACATATTTGGATACCGTGGGGCCCACCGTCGCGGGGTATTATTTACCACATTCTTCGAGGAAAGCCTAAAGAAGCAAGTCAGGTGCGCCACTGTCCGATAATATATGATGCGCGTATTCATTACGCACACAGTTAATCCGATTAGACGTAACGAGGAAGAAGAAGTTAAGCACAAAAAAGCAACAACAAAGATGTAATTCAAGTCTCAAGATCATAAAGTGTCTCACCTGCAAGAGCCGAAGTCGTTTGGCTCAGGGCGAGCGCCACAATAACCAGGACAAAGGAGGAGAAATCCATGCGCAAGGGTCTCCGTTTCTTCCGGAAAGGACAATCTGGAATATCCATAGTGTTGCAGTAGTTTGCCGGCCTGGTTGAGCTGTAAATGTAGGATCTGGGGGGTGTTATCCTCCCACAGAAAGCCAGCCGTGGAGGGGAGCCCGACTGTACCTTCTGCGAGGCAGCAGACAAAAAGTCACGCCTCTGGAGACGTCTTCACCTCTCACCAGGAGACTTTCCTTGATGGGTTACCGAAAGTATGTGTTGATGCATAAAACCTGCACACTAAAATGGGTACGGGGTTGATAAATGTGTTTAATTTTAACGTTTAACCCCTTAGTGCTGAAGCCCCATTGAGTCAGATTGGGTACGAGTACCCAAAGTGGAGAGAGCAGCAGAGAGAGACCTGGAATCACCCTCTCTCTCCTTCCCTCTCCCCTTCTTACTTTCTCACACGGAGAATGAAAGCGCGCGCGTGTGTGGAGTGAGAGAGTGATTGGCAAAGAGGCAGACAGATCAAAAAGAGGGCGTGCGTAATTGCGCGCTCTGATGTACAGGAGAGAGTTTATGGGTGCGAACTAAACATGTTAATGAGGCATTTATCAGCGCGCACACGCACCAATCACGTGCTTGATTGTGGTTTGAGGTTGCTCAGAGGGAAGGCAGAGGTGAAAAAATATTTCTACTCGATTCTGATTCACTCAAAAATATAAATTTACTGAAAATGGCTGCTAAAGCGTTTTCTCACATATTACCCATCACCCCGTGCGTTTCTGGCTGCCTCGGCACTTCGAGCAGAACTTCAGGTAAACCTGGACACGAGACAGCTGGACCGAGTTGAGCAACAGAAATGAGTGAGCGCTGAGTCAACCAATCAGACTTCTGTCCGCACCACTGACCACGCCCCCTTCATCAAGTCCAGGAGTTCCTTCGATCTGATTGGTCAGTTTTATGTGACCTGTTGAAGCATCTGCTCAGGTATTGAAACTGGAAGAGAAAAATAAATAAAAGGTCCTACAGATGATCAGTTTGGATGTAACAAATTAAATAAATGGAAATTATTATTTTTTTCTTACAGCTTACACAATGAAGGCTTTGTTAAAAATGTGTGCTGATAATTGAGACAAAATTATAACATTGTAAACATTGTTTAGCTACCAAATTTGAATGAATGACAAAAAAAAATAATTTTTTTTTCAGATTCAGCTAAACACACATACAAACACTGGTTCAGTTACTCCTAAAAGAAGTGAGGAGGAGCTGCTTTTATTGCATATCAAACAATCTGCATTTATACAAATCAAAAATAACTCGCACAAACTGACAACTTGTGTTGAACCTCACAGCAATCTTTAGTCTCTGTGTCTGCAGCAAAAACCACATATTTAAAATAAATGCCTTTTCCCTTCAAACATATTAAACAGAAGGCCTTTTTGACCAAAAATAAGTTTTGTTTTATTTTCTAATAAAGGATTACGACACCCTGGAACAATATAACTTTTGTAAAATAAAACAGTAGGTCAGTTTTTGCAGCACATGCAATAAAATAATCAGATGATTTAAGTGTTTATTTTTTCTTAAAACATTTATTACAATTAAAATGTAAAACATAATTCAATCTTCTTTACATTAAATACGTAATGACAAGATAACAAACTTCATATATGCTGCAAACACTTAAAAGCGTCTTCTCTGTCATGTTCAAAGGTCTTCGGTGTGCCCAGCCGTCTACCTTTTAAATGTTTCTGCATTTTCAAAGCCCATAGTTAGTCACTTTCTTTGAATGCAGACTTCACATCCAGAGAGCAGCAATTAACCCTAATTATCCCTTGATGCTCTACACCGCTCACAACCTTACCACCTTTTCATTTCTTCCCCCATTTGTGTTGTATTTTCTGAGGGGTGTGTTTGCAATCTGTGGTACTTTCCAAGATAACTCCCCCATTATAATCCATTCTGGGGGCTTAGCAACAAAAGCAAAGAAAAGGGAAAAACAAATATTTTGTTTACCCGAAGACTGGATCGAGAAAAATTAGAAGCTGTGAGCTACTTCAAATGAGCTTTCAACTAAATTAAAAATCTGTGACTACACTGAAGCAACCAATCTTTTTTAAATATTGATTTTTTTTAATGATAAATGAATAAACGGTAAATAAGAAGCTTGAAATTTCTGTGGTTTATCAATCTTTCAATAGACAAAAATAAAATTTACCTTTTTTAATTTAGTCTTAGGAGGCAGTAAATCAGATTAACGTTCTCTCTTCTGACAAACGCAAATTACATTGTATTTTATTTGAGTGCACAATGCATTTTGTTTAATCTAGAGATTTAAATTTTTTATTTTTATTGTATGTATATGAGCTTGACGACTGCCAAACGAAGGAAACATGTCACTCAATCATGACAGACTAAAGTGATTGTGCTCTGGAGAAAAATCACTGCAGTGATTCATTTCGTAACATTCCTCCAGGTGGCTGCACCCAGGAAACACGAGAAAAACCAGCACAGCCTTCATAAACCTTCAGGAAACCAAGATGGAAAAAAATTGTCTTCTTAGATGGTAAGAACAAACAAACAATAGGTTGTTAGAAGAGGCCAATTAAATATTAGTGTATTTATTTAAACATGTACATAAAAACGTTCATAATGTGTCATTTAGCTGGATGCTTGGGAGTTATTTTCCTATTTGCAGACACTGAATTGTTACTCAGATGGTATTTTCTCTGTAAAAGTATTTGTTCTGAATCCAAAACTGCAGGAAACGCTTCCTCATTGTGGCAGCTCTGAGCTTTATTTTGGCTTCCTGGACACACTGGAGCGAGTGTTTCTTTTTGAGGACAGGTTGATTGGTCCAGGCCTCTATTTGCTCTGAAAGGAGACACCACAGGCTGTAAAAAGAGGCACCCCAAGAGACATCTGAGGTTTATGTTTGTGTTGGACGTTGCATGTAGTGTGTGGGCATGTTTTTATTCTTTTTGTCTTAAGCATTCAAGTTGACTTTTGTCTGAGGACATGACAGAAGAACTTGTTTGTTTTTGACCAGAAAAATAAAGAATTTTTTTTTTCATGAACAATAACGCTGAAGAGTTCTGACGATATGCGTTTGGTAAAAGTTATCTCTTTCAATGGACAAGAAAGAAATTGACTTTATTTTTCTTAGCTTAGGAGCAAAATAAATCGGATTGAAGATCTTAGTCTCACAAAAACAAACTTGAATGTGTCTCAGACTGAGCGTTCAGTTCCCAGGAGACTTTGCACTCAGCGACAGCATTTCAGACTGAAAACGAGGTTTATCAGGAACAAATCTAAACTCTGGTGGTGTCGTGTTTAATTACCATTAATGCAAAAACCCTGTTATCTCCTTACTTTTTAAACTTTTCTCATGTTACAACAACCGTAGACAACAATTACCATGTGCCTTCTCTGATTTTCAGGGATAAAACTCAATCTTAGCCATTTAAACTTGGACAATCAAAACACAACTTCAGATAAGATTGAACAGAAAATTACAAAAACTAGTCAAATATGTGTTGTTGTTATTCAACTACTGTATGTTAAATAATATTAATGGATAAACGCAAGCACCAAATAATCTGTTTTCTCACCATTTTTCAATATTAAATGCCAAAACGATTTAAAATTAGAAATAAAAATACACTAGACAGTGTTCATACTCATATTTTGGACATACTTGATCATGTTGGGGCTTGGTCTTATCTCAGCAGTCTTCAGGCGAGAGGCGGGGTCCACACTGGTCACCACTCCATCACAGGGCCACGGAGAAACAAACAATCATGCACACACAAGGTTAATTTAGCATTGCTAATTAACTAAGAATGCATGTATATGGGCCGTGGGAGGAATCTGGAGTACTTACAAAAAACCTGCGTATGCATGGGAAGAAACTTCAAAACAGAAACACCCCAGCTGAGATTTAAACTGGCAACTTCCTTGCTGTGGGGCATCAGAGCTTATCAACGTACTTCTTCGCAAATCCATTTTAAAATAAGCGTCATTTAGATTATTTTTTTAAACTGTAAAATAAAGGTGCTTTGGTTCTTTTGGATAAAATATCAGGACAATCCAGACCTAAACGAGAGGAAACTACTCAAACATTTTATCAAAACCACAGAGCTGTGCATGTGCGTGTGTGTGTTAGCAAACAAAAAACAAAAAAAATACTGGAGTCACAGACAATTGGTCAACTACAGTTGGCACATGGGTGGTGTCAAAGGCTGTCATTGTTGGTGAACAAGTGCTATTTGACAAAGACTTCATGTGTCATTTTATATGATTAAAACATGTATTGTACATTAATTATGATATATCCAATTAATATTTTGCTGTCACAGCAATTAAAATAACATAAAACGAGTGAAAGCTCGACTGATGCTGTTTCAATCTGTTTCCTCCAACGTGTCCACACCCTTTTTCAGACGCAGCACAAAATAACCTTTATTCACAACAGTATAATTCACAAACTGCTGAGCGTTCACGTTATGGAGCTTCTATAAATTCTGAAGTACAAGGACGACTCGTTTGCACCCCCAGCTGCATGACTTCATCTGGAAACAGAGTTGTGGTGTTTTTCAGATGTTGAGGCTGCTAAAAGCTCCTGGCATCTAAAGCCAGGTGATCTTATCATGCAAGACCTGGAAAAAATTATCTTAATTATTAATACCTTGTAATTTCAAAAGGACATAAGAACCCAAAGACCGTGAGGTTTCCTAGAAGAAAACCTGCATCAGATGTAGCCACATGAAGCTGAATCCTCCCATCATCCAGGGATATGTGAAGCCTTACAGACTGTAATATTAAAGGGTGATTAGTGTGCAGCTGACAAAACCGCATTGTGTGGCAACATCTGGGTCAACACAAGCGGGGAAACTTCAAGGACAGATGAGACCAAGACAAGAGTGTCTGCAGCGGGAGAGTCAGAGATGGCACCAACTCTGCAAGATGGACCAAGTGCCTGTGGGCAGCTCTCTCTCTGTGCTATTTCCACAACCTTATAATTACAATAAAGCGACCATATTATACAGCTGACTTCCCTGAAAAGTCTGTATTTTACAGGGCAGGGCCACAAACGCACACACACCCTGCTAGCCACAACACACTGAAATAGATCAGAGCAGGGGCTCGCCGGGGAGGAAATAGAGAAAGGGAGTGATGCAGTCAGCAGTGATGGGGAGGGACAAACAGTGTGTGATGAATACACACTGCT